TTTAGCCCTTGCTTGCATGAATAACAAAACACGAATTGAATGATTGAAGTGTTAGGTTTGGGGGCAACTTCCCCTTGATAAGTCTATCTCCTGCCTGCTCAGCAGGTCATTCACTTATGCATTTTTTTTTAAAAAAAATTTAATTAATTTTAATTTGCTAAATTGGTGAATTTATTGTCATGCTTTGGTTTTGCACTTGATTTGCTTATGCTTCTGAATTAATGATATTGTAGATAGTTTGAGAATTCATATTTTACATGTTTGCACATTTTTTTAAATTATTTTGGCTTTTTTCTTTTTTTAGAATTTAAATTTTTTTACTTTTATACGTGTTTGTTAAGAATTTAAATTTGTTTAAATTTAAACATATACTGCAATGTATATATAAAGTAAGAAATTTAGAACCAATTTTTCACAATGACCAAAAATTGAATCCAATAAATGAAAAAAAAAATTAAAAATGTTAAAACCAAAACACTTCAAAAAAAACAATACCTCAGTTCAAACGCGAAAATACTAGGCATGACAATTTTTTTTTGGAGGGGTGAGGTATTTATGGGGAATATGGTAGTTTATTTACACAGCAAATATGGTAGCTATAAGGCATACTAGTGGAATAATAAAAAGGAAAATGCAAGAAAACATGTTGCTAGGCAATTAATACTTATACCGCCAATGCAGTTTTGATATGCCTCGACCAGTATAATTATTAAATTGGAAAGGTTATGTTACCATGGCCTATAACCACAACTGGCCCATTAAAATATACATAAATCTAAACAATAGATTATTACAGGCTTGAAATGAAAGAAAATTGAAAGCAAAACTTGTTAAACAGAAAATGCGAGATGATATATATATAGAACATACTTAAAGACAACAGACTTATAACTGCTTTCGGAAGCACTTCCGCAGAGAACCCGATAAATGTAAACATCGCCAACTTTGGCGACAATAGTTCTAACTTGGTAACCCTTCGGATTTATCCCATTCGCTTGTTCGAAGTTTACAACCATTCCTCTTGCGTTTATTTTGTGAATTAAGACTGTCGTTGTTCGCATTTGCAGATTTATATTTCTTCTCTTATTTATTATTATTTTTTCTAAATTTTTTAACAACGAATAGATAGAATATTTCGTAGATAGATGCCGTTTTGGTTCGGGATGAAAGGAGGGGGAATGCTAATTTGTAACACGGCTGTTCACGTTGTGTTCTTAATATTAACAGCTCTCCCATGAGTTTCCAAAATTAAAATAATTTGTTTTCATAGACCGCAAAATGTGCATTTTAAATAATTAAGTAATGCTTTTATTTTTATTATTGGTTATTGTCATCTAAAATTATTTTCGTATATCACGTTTAACCCTTTAGTTTTACATCTACATGCTTATTATATGTGAATTTTTACTACCATATGCTTAATATATTGTTTTATCTGCTAACTTGAATTTACATTCACTAAAAATCATGTTTACAAAATATCACGTTTACGGCTCGGCTCGGCGAGTAATAATGCAACGGCGCCAACGGGTTCTCTGCGGATGAAAACCCCTGCTTTCATGCAAATATTAACGTACAGCAAAATAATAATTTTAATTGTAGTAACATATATTGCGCAAAAAAAGGGGGGCAATTCTATATTTCCCGTTCTACTGGGCCGGTTGACAAAATTCAACCTGCGATTTTCTTGTCTTGAAAGCGCGACTTAGGATATGTATTAGATTCATATATAGCACTGTTCCTAATATAGGTGTTTTGACACAAAATCGGACTTTTTTTATAAATGACATGCCAATTTTTTTCCATATTTCGATTCTACGACTCAAATTATGCCAAACTGCGAATTTTGTAAAAATCGTACCAGTAGGTTTTAAAAAATTAGCTCTCAAAATTTTAGCTGCTCAATGTTAATTGAATTTGATATATATTTATTAATACCTCTTTTTTTTATTTAATTTAACTGATTCCTTCTTCCAGAATTCGAAATTTAGGCTTAATCCAAATGTAATTCGCATATTTTTTTATGATTTGTATTTTTAAATATTTTTTATAAAATTTTCGAAAAACTTTTTGTATTATAACCTATAAAATGTTTAACATCTTCTTAAAGTGTATGCATTTCTAGGCACACCTGCAAAAATATAGAGTTCTTTTATTCAAAATTTTCTAAGATATACGTTAATTTACATTTTAGCCGTTTGGAAATTTGGCGTATTTAATATAAGCGATAATAACGAAAATGTAGTTTACGCAGTTCGTTAAAATTATTTGAAAGAATGAACGATGGACCTTTTTTTTCCTCTCGTGCATAAATGAAAAAAAGGAAAGTAGGTTACTATAAATTAAGAATTCCGCCAAGTGAATATTTCTTGGAGCAAACTGAAAAAAATACGCCAAAATAAATTTTAAAATTTCTCCATAAATTTCTCACCAAAAATTAAAAAATTTAATATCTAGGCAAAATTTGAGCCGTAGAATCGAAATATGAAAAAAATTTATATGTTATTTAAGAAAAATTCCGATTTTGTGTCGAAATTCCTATGTTAGAATAATGCGATATATAAATCTAATATATATCCTACGTCGCTCTTTCGAGACATAAAAAACGCAATTTGGATTTCGTCAATCGGTCCAGTAGAACGGGAGATACAGAACTGTCACCTTCCTCCCCCCCCCCGCAGTGTATATACCGGTGTCTAGCATGTACATTATGATACTAAAGTGATGGGAAAAAATACAAGTTTTCAAATCAGGCCGATTCATTAAATACTGAAATACCCCGATGAATAGAATTTGAAAGCAAATTAATGCTCATAGAACTACATTTAGGTAATGCCATGTTCGTACTAAATGAATTAATTAAAATAAATAAAATGTAATATATGTAAATATTTGATTTACGAAACATACATTAGTACAGATAAATCTGGTGACATACAGTTATAACAGAATGCTCAATAGTAAGACATAAAGTAATAAAAATTTAATACATGTTACTGCTCAACTTAAGTACAAATAAAACTATGTAAGGTATTTCTTGGTACAAAATTTAATATTTTGGTATAGACAATAAATTTAACTGCAAGTAAGTGTTCACAATACAAACTGGATTATTCAAAAAATTAAGTATTATTAAAAAGCAGATAATTATTATACAGTAAAAGTACACAAAACAAGATATTCGATACATTAATGTACTAAATATAGGCCGAACTGCTGACGGCATGGTGTCGGAGGAAAGTAACAAGGAAGTTATTCCAGCTTTGTCAGTAATGCTCTTAACAATTTCAATACAGTCTCGAATGAGACCGAGCGAATATATATTCTTATTTGTATACCAGATCCATGCTGGTACTTAGTTATAAGTACAGGAAACTAAGCCAATAGGTAATCGAGCTATTGCTGAACCTAGCCAACTGTTAAGCTTTCGATCTAATTTTCAGAGACGTTACTTCGGGAGAGGAGGTCAGAGGGTTACCAATTTCTCTTTCCATACAAAGTCTTTCCAACAACGTCTCTCACCTCGCTGTGTAAAATACACACCTTCTTGCTCCACATAAAATAATACGTTTACAAACATCCATGCCTTCTCCAAGGATTCGAGTACGGCAATCAACGCCACTAAGACTCTATCGGTACATTTATCCACTTTCTTCCAAGCACTTTGCGTGAGCTTCCTAGCAAGCGCTCTCATTCTGGTCTCCGAAAAATAGCTATGCTTGTATGAACCATTGCTCATGGAACTAGGTATATATCTAAAGCAGGGATGTCAAACTCATAGGTACACTTGGGCCAAACAAACAAGGTTTAACTTTAGACGGGCCGAGAAAAAAAAAAAAAAAAAAAAATATTCATAGAAACGTAGATTTATTTCGAATAATTCGAATAATACAATAATAAACATATATATATTATATATATATATATATATATATATATATAGAAAAGAACAAGAAAAATTTAATGTTTACGTCCTGATACTTGACATCTCTTTTCTGCTATTATCTTTCCTATTTCGGGAGAAATTTTGTTTGCAGTGATAACTTTCATTAATACGGTTTCTAATAGGAGACTTATTACCTTTCATGACTGAAAATAAGTGCTACCAAACATGGAAATAATTTCATATGCGAATTTTCGAGTATTTTCAAACCTGGCTGGTAAATATTTGTAAAATTCAGGCACGCCCACTTCAATGAATTTTAATTACCGTTAATTATTTAGAAGTAAACATTTCATTTTTTTCTTCGTCGATATGTTATTTTATTATTATATACTATTATTTGCCGATATACTTGGTATATTGCAAAAAATATTTTTTGTGGGCCGCATGCGGCCCGCAGGCCACGAGTTTGACATCCTTGATCTAAAGCTTTTGAAACAGATGAATTATGCAATTCGTATATTTGTGGATTCTTCACAAAAATCAAATTTCTTTTCATATGCGTTAGACTTTTAACGAAGAACATATTTACAGCATTTTAAAACGACTGGAGATTAGCTTACTGTAACTATCTTATTAGTTACAACTGGTGATACAATTCAAATTAAATTAATTATTAAAGGTACAATTAAAATTCGCTGTTTGCTTGCAGTCATACAGGTAATGAATACAAACAGGCTATTATACTTCGCACTTTGGCGGCTGACGAGTAAACTGAAATCCGAAGTTTCCGCGCTGCGCGGCGACGCAACTTCAAATGGCCTGCATTGATGAAATTCACTTCATAATGCATAATTTAGATTATTAAACTAATTATATCATGACTTTTATATAAAATATATTAATTTATGATCTTTTCTGTTATGGAACAATACGAGGCAAACAGTTTTCTCTGGAAAATCATGTAATCCAAAACTTGATATTTCCAGCGAGAAAAACAATTTTGTTATCAACTGATTTCATTCCTAAATATAATAAACACCTATCTCAGGTTATTTATGTTTTGGTAAACAAAGAATGAAATAGAATGGCACAAAAATATTTCGACAATACTTACCTTTAAAATAAGAATCTAAGAGATAAGGTCAATAGGCAATACTGGCGTGCATATCGTTCGGCAGAAAATTGTTTGGCGCGTATTTTCCTATAATAAAATACATTCATAATTTAATTTTATTCTAAATTTGAATTTAATTTTTTGCTAATTACATTTCGATTCTGTAATTTTCTTAAAATTTCATAGGAAAAAAATCCCGAGTACGGGAGAAGGCCTAATTTATCAAAACACGATGAAAATCAATTTTAACAGTAAAGCAATATAGTAAATCATACATAATTCTGGATATGGAAATTAAGTATTTGGAAGGAATTTTAAGGACCATCAAAGAACAGAAGCGGTTTAATCCTAGTATCCGGTGCAAATAGGATTTGGCTACTTTTGGCGACTTTATGATGAGCAGTAAAAACAGGACATATACGATGAGTAGTTAACGGGTCATTCAAAGAAAATATATAGTTAAACATGTATATACTATGTATATAGTATATATACTATGTATATACACACATAGCATATAGTGTATAGTATATATATACAGACGTTCTTCAAGATCATTTTTGGTGTTGGTGATAATTTTCAAAGTCGCGCCAAGGCTGCACCGTATACTAGGATTTTACCACAGAAGCTATCAGCAAATGGGAATTGAATAAATTAAAGCAAATCATTCTTGTAATACCATTCAAAGAACAATGCAGACCTCTGGGTAGGATGCATTAATATACCACTTCAGTACTATTCGGTTTCGAGGGCCGTAAAAAAATTGCAGCGAAAATGTATGGATGAAAGCGCCAAATCTAGCAAACACGCCCATTTAACAGCGTGCCAAATCTCGCATACGCGCTGATTTCAGATTGCGTAAGTTTATATAGTTCTATATTTCTTAAGACGCAATTGAAATACTAGTTTAATTTTTAATCTTTTTTTTTAATCTTTATATATATATATATAATATATATATATATATCCTATGGATTTAACAATTTGGGAATTGTCTATGATGAAAAATCTTCTATAAAATTTGGGGTAAAGTGCAGAATCACCCACTGCTTGACGCGTTTTTAAGAATTGCACATACTCGGTATCCATGTGCACATCGACCTATTTTCACTTTAAAAAAAATCCTAGAATTGCACAAAAATGGGACACTCTTGATTTTCTATGTGCACATCGATCTGCTGTCACTTAAAAAGTAAAAGAAAATTGACACAATTCCAATTGTTTTTACCACTGTAAAACGCGGCAAAGAAATAAGCGGGCGATTCAGAACTTTACCGAAAATGTTTTCAAAGAAAAAGGCATCATTCATTATAGAAAATTATGTTTGAACAACCAACGAGATGACATTATGCTTTAGCGATAACTCGGTAGCGAAATATTATATGAAATTAACCTTTCATCTAAATTAAAACATTAATATTTAGATAGTTATTTACTATTATATTTCCTTTCTTGCGTTAGGGTTACCGCAATTACTTTTGGCAGCACTGGCATCAACGATAGTTTGGCGATTTTTTACGGCCCTCGAAACCGAATAGTACCAAAACTTCTTCTAATAGTTAACATAATTATAAAACAAATTCGAGAATAATATCAACTTCGTAAAATAGTCAAGAAATTAGCATTAAATTACAAAATTTTCTGAAACATTTATTCTTTTACACTTAGAACAGTCCCACATATTTTAAAGAAGATTGGTGATATATTATATGCGCCTAGAGTTTTATAAGTTTTAACCGGAAGTATATTTCTCAGTAATTGTTCCTGTAAAAAATAAAACCAAAAAAACCACATCATCATACGCAATTCGTTCGTCTATTAACATTAAAAAAAATCTGAAAGCTTGCATATTTTATATCACGCCCAGAGGGGCGTTTTTTAACATTTTGTGTATTACCTTTATTTATTAAATATCAAACAATATCCCAAAATAATTTTGAAAGAGCATAACTTTATAATTTTCGATACAGTCACGCAAACTAGAGATAATCCCCCCCTCCAGTGTTACCATTGCTCGCTTTGATATCGTTGAGATTGTTAATTCAAAATTCGTTAAAGTTTTACAAAATATGATATACATAAAATAAACTCCAAATTTGGGCTTCCAGACGTCCATATTGGAGTGGAGGACTATTCAAAATTTGACTATTCAAATTTCGTTGTTCAAAATTTGATGTCTCTAGGTACCGTTGTTTTTTTCACAGTGCCAGATACATACATTCAAGCAGATTCTTCATTATTTAATTTCTTTAACTATACTGCAGGGCTCTAATATTTGATGGCAACAATTTGAAAAGTGAACCAATGCAAAATGGCAAAACGAAACTAATAGCCTTTCTGGGCAAATTGCACATTTGGACTAAAAGATGTTTTCTTCATCCTTTTTCATTTCGTGCTGCCGTCAATCCAGCTTATAAAAAATAAAAATGAGTCTGATATATTACTAATTCTGAATCTCGACCGGATGTAATATTTAATTATGCTTTGCCTCTTTTACTACCATTTCCGTTATTCTGGGCATACGGCTTGTTTTTTCGAAACTTTTAATTTGACGCATTGAATTTATTAGATTTTATACTTCAGACTTTTATACATAGATTTTGCCTTTTTTCTTGAGGCCCAACAGAAGCCAAGCGGAGCTCGATTCCAGACGAACGGGCTGACTGCATGGTGTTTTCCTATGTGTATGAACAACAAACGAAAATAATCTGAAAATGAAATATCTGAATCTTCTAACAAAATCAAAATAATCTGAAACTCAAATTCGAAGCAGGTTAAAAATCTGGAGAATATATTTAATAAGCTTAGCGACTAATCTCCCGATCTTGGCGATTGAACAAGGTAGCCGCTGTCATCCTGAAGTACCAATTAAAAAATATTCATTTAATGCGATGCGCAAACAGTATTGAGTAACATCAAACTCGTCAAAATAACAACATTCTGCATTAGGAGCGACTTTTATTAATGATATTAATGGTTTAAATGCTTATAAAGATCTTAAATCGAACATTTCTTGCTCAAATTTTAGGCTAAATTAAACCAAGGTTAATGCTTTTATTTTATTTACTAACTTTAGTCTTCTGTAACTTCACTTTTATGAATCAATAGTGTCGGATTAGTTCAATGAAATCGAAACTTCCTATGTGTGCTTTCGTAGCTCCAGACACCAACCACATCTCTCTAAAAATAGCTTTCTAAATCAGAAGTAAATGAAGGCAGTTCAAAAGACACTTATTGAAAAACGTTTACATTTGTTATTTCATTAAAAATATTTCATTGCAAGAAATATTGCTTTTATTAAATTTACCACTGAAATTCGTAACTGCCGTAAAATATTAAAAAATGCCGTCTCAAAATCAACATTGTTTGCCTACTTGCTAAAACTTTCGGTACTTTTGCATTATCGGGACCGGATTCAGAAATGTATGTAGGTATGTGCTCATGTATGCATTTATATATATACATGCTATGTATGTGTGTTTGTATACACACGTACATGCATACATACATTTTTTATTCCAGTCCCGATAACAAAAGCGTACCAGACTTTCAAGTTTTGAAATGAATTTATTGTCTTATAGGAAAAATCCTAGTATACGGTACGGGCTTAGCGCGATTTTGAAAATTGTCGCCAACACTAAAATGACACGTTTACTGCTTATCATAATGTCGCCAAATCCCCGTGTGCACCATATACTAGGATTAATACGTATTTATATTTTAATGCATAAACTTTATTCTGATATTATGAATGTCGGCCAGGTACGAAAGGATTTCATCACACTTAAAAACAAAACATGCGATAAATGCAAGTGGCATTTGACAATCAGATAATGGCAAAATTTTACTTTGCTTTTAGCTTGTTTGTAGCTTTTCTTCAAAACAAAATAAATAGAAATTTCCATGCTTTAAAATTTATGAAGGTTTTATTGGAAGCAAGAATCATTTGCCATTTATAGTAAATTTAAATCATCTGAGTAATTGCTTTTGTTCTGATAATGCTACGATAGTTTTCCGTTATGCATCTGCCAAGCATTTTGGCAGAGCTTTTAATTATAAATAATTTCTAATTATAAAAAGAGTTTAAAAGTATTAGTAATTATAACGGCGGTTAACGTACGTGTATTTACCTTCTTTTTCATAAGGAAAAAACGTGTGGTAGGTGCGTAATGAGAAAATACTAGTGTTACATGTGACTTTCGATTTGTTGTCGCAGTCGCATGTAACACTACTATTTTCCCATAGCTATGTTCATAAATCCTTTTCACTGATATATAACTTGCTTCTAGCCATGCTTTGAGGTATTATGAGTACTACTGTATATCACACAAGTTAATAAATAAATTTAATTTTGTTATCCTTTCACATCAAGTATAAGAAACCAAAACAATTGAAAATATAAGTTTTTAATAATTAGAATCAATTTGCATGCAATTTACTCAAGTTATACATACAATTAACACAAGTAATGAAGGTAAAGAGTATGACATTCTTTTTAAAAATTAGCTGAAGTCGTGAAATGTTAATTTTCGGGAAGTTTGAAGTTAACAACAGAATACGGAACACCGAAAGTATCACTCGCTACATTATTGGCAATTCAAATTAACAGTTTATCATTAAGTTTCTTGATTTGTTACTATAATGTAAGACGAAATCTAGCATTTGATGTGAGCCTACTGAACTAAGTAATATTTGAAAAATGAAAGGAAAGATTTACATTACCTAAATGATGGCGATTACGTATCATTTCAAAACTAGTTTACTATTTGTTGCCATTCAGCTCATAAGAAAAACTTATTCTTAATCGCTGTTGCCATTCTTCTGAAAAACTGGGCTAAGTTACATATTGTATACTGAAATATTCGAGCTTGTGCCGTCGTACGCGAAGGTTGTTTTCTTCTCGGCTGCTACTCCGGCTAGGAATTATCGTCTGCGTCGCTTCGCCCTTATGGAAGACTCAGAGCACACCTGTCTTTTTATGTCTGGATAACAGCATCATATCTGTCGTTCTACGTTTGGGTAACAGCTGCAGTGTCTGCTTCCAGGCTATTATTACTCATTGGATCTCTTTCTTGCTTGCTCTCTCCAAGTCACGGCGTCGAGTGCGGTCAGAGGTCTCGCGAGAAATTCAATTGCAAGGCTTCTTCGAGTCTTCTAGTATAGACTGCAACTTCTTTTACTCTCTTTTTCTTTGCGCATGACATCTTGTGCTGATGTCATTTTGAATATACAGTTAGATCCTGTGTTTGGGCATAAAACGAACACGGAGGATTTTGCACATTCACATGAGACTTCTGATTATGATTACACGCAAACTTGATCAGATCTTCAGTTCATTCACATCCTCAGTCACAAGATAACTTTATCGAGCAATGCTAACTCCACTAGGCAAGTTGTTCTCGACATTGAAAATGCAATAAACCAAACAAATATTGGACTTTCAGCTGAAACAATCAAAGAACTACATCTGCTACTTGCAAAGTCGTCAACCAATTAAGAGAACAAGAAAATGCTCGAGCTACTGCAACTATCAATAAAATCTTACAGAAATAAATAAACGAACTGAAACAATACTGCGAAGCTAATCAAACTAGAGGTGAATTTCGTAAAGAACGGAAAGGCCAACTAAGAAAAATCTTCATATTCTGAGATCGAAAATGACTAACCAAATCTTAAAATTAACAACAAATTTCAAATTCTCCAAATCGATAAATTCCCAGTGAACTTGGATGATATTGAAGATGACCATCTCTCACTCCTAGTCAACCAACTATACGCGCCACCATTCCAAAAACTACCAAGAAGAATTCATTGAAAATAAAACTCAAAAGAATAAAGTTCCACCCATAACAGTGGATAATATTGTCAAAGCCAACGAGTTTCTTGCAAATTTAAGTAATCAAACTGGAAAGAAAATAATGGGCTTCTAAATGATGATACTAAATGCTTATAACTTTCGTAGGATAATATTTGATTATATTCGTGCTTCTGTAGCTGAAATAAGACGAAAGGCAGATAGGGAACATTGGTAGACTGTCAGACGCATTGAAGAAGAAAAATTAATATGATGTCGCATTTTCTTTGGTGTTGATCATTCGGTAATTTCCTGAATGTGATAACTATTCCGAACTGATACGGGTTGAAAGAAAGCCGGCATTTGTACATCCCAGTAGCCATATTAGGTATCGCCGAGCCTTGTTAACTGCTGAGTTTCTGCCCCGGATAGAATTCCGAGGTAGAACATGGAATTGCGAGGGATGCGGTCAGAGAGTCTCCCACCTCTCTTCCCCTACCATCAATCTCTCGAAATGATTTCGGCTCGCCTTGTATTTTGATCACCTCCTTGCCGCACAGACCCTGTGCGCTTACAAGCATCCCTGCCTTCTTCAGAATTCTAACCCAGCTCCTTTTCGGCTGTCACCGACAGTAGCCACTATATCCCGTCTAGACGACAAACTAAACAAACAGTTTTCCAGAGAACTATGCCCGTCGACTAATGGTTATCAACCCTTCTGATGATTGGTATATTGGTATACTACTCAAGCGGAATAAATGAGAGACCCCTACAAATGTTAAATCGATGGTTGCAGTGCCACTCGGTATCTGCTGGTATTGTGCCGAAGACTTCACTTGAGAACAACTTACGTCAGTATACGAAGTGTTTGTATTCCACTGACCACCCAGTTCAGAGGGACAAGGTTTAAGTAAAGTCGTCAGCATCTCAATTAAGCTATCCTCATACTGGTGCAATGTCCTGTTCACGGACGAATCCAGATTTGCCCTGGAATCCATGTTTGCCTGGAGTGTAAAGATCTGGGAAAAACTAGGCACACGGAATCAAACTCAGGACATCATCGAACGTAATGCATTCGTAGGTGGCAAGACAATGGTGTAGGCTGGAATTTCCATGGAATATTGCACCCAGCTGCACATCTTAAAAACGATTCTGTGACAGCTGCACAGTATCGGAACCTCACAGTGATATTCTGCGCTGCAGCAATTGGTCCCGATTTTCTTCTTAGAGATGATAATACTTGTTCCCATTGAGCCAACATCGTTAACAAGTACGAAGAAATGAAGGCATTCCGTGCACTGAGTGGCCGTCGCAATTCCCTGACTTCAGTCCTATTGAAAAAATTTTGGAATGTCCTCTGGTGTATTGTTTTTACATACTTGCCTCCTTCAGCCAGTCTTCAGATAGCTGGAAACTGTCCTAATGAAGAACTGGCAGCATCCGCCATAGTTGATCACCTCTTGAAACCATAGGCAAACACTGTAAAATTTGAGTAAATGGAGTCTAAGTTTTGTTTGCTTGGAATCAGCTTTAAATATTTGTTAATAACTAAATTGACGTTTTTACATAATTTGAAAAAAATTAAATATTGTTTTCATCTTCTGATCCAATACTTGTTTTCTTTCATGCCTAAACACATTTGCTACCTTCGTGTGCAATTTGTGTTAATTAAACACAAATTATTTTTTTCATTTTGTCGATTTGACGGTCGTATTCCTAACTTATAAAAACCAATGCGTATTATGAATATAACCAAGTATATGTGCTAGCTCACTTTTGTTACGAACCAAATACGAATGCGAATTTCGAAAGGGAATACGACACTTGAAGATACCAAAGCTACTTTTGTTTCGAGTAGTTTGGAACTGTGGTAATTTGGTGATGTTGATTTGGTACACAAATGGATGACGACATTTCGTTTATATTTTAATAGAAACACCAACAAGATATATTACAGTATTAGTAGCATCGCAATGGCGAACCTATAGATACATAATATAAACACACAGAATATTTTCTTTCGGCGCAACAACGCCCTCTAATATGAAAAGTTGCAAAAACTTTTCAAAACATTTAATGCTTAAGCGCTGTTGTTGTTGTTTTAGTGATATATTTTATTTTTATCGCAAAGTTTTATTTAGTTCGTTTTGTTCAATTTCAAAATAATTTCACAATTTCGGTCAAATGACGGCCGAATTTTTGATTTTGCATACCGGATAGCAGGAAACATTAGTCTTCAGAGAATGCTTTTAAAAATCTTTAACTATTTCCAAATCACACCCTGTACTGTTAGCAGCCTCATGACTTCTAAATCAAAAAGAAATTTAAATGAACTGAACATTATCTTATGCCATTGGAATGACTGTAATTTCTTGGGGAAAAAAACATGTTAAGATACACTAATTAGAATGAATATAAAAATTGTAGAAAGCTCGCCTAAAAGTTACCAAGAGCTGCTGCTCCAAAAGGTTTAAAACGTTTTCAAAAATTAATACACATGAAAAGCAAATCATTAGAATGCATTCAGTGGCAGATATTTTCTTTCTTATTATTTTTTCCAATTCTATAGACATTAATTTCTAGGTAGAGAAAAATTTTAAATCACACAACTTTAAATAAATGTAGAATTTTTATGCGCCATAATATTCTTTCTTGGTCACATACAGATAACAAGAATGCAGCTGAATTTCGAGCCTTCGTTCAGTGATTGTTTCCTGGTAGACTGATAAGATTTTCTCATAAGATCATTTCCTAGCATGTAAACTTGCGCTATTTTGCTTCCTGAATGATGTCCTAAGTAAATAATATTATCCATTCTCTCATACACGTTTCACAACCTATTATTCCGCTGCATTAATCTTTGAAAATCATATTGCCAGATCAGCGTTTCTAGCGTGGATCGTCTGGAAAAGACAAATTGAAACGAAATACATATTTATATTCGGGTTGTCAGATAAAACAACGCGCAACGCTATGAAAACATTTTCTGAGAAACGCGTTTCTTCCAGAACTAATTTGAATGAGAAGTTTCTGGCTGAAACATTTCTGCTCTGTAAACTACTTGCGTACATACACAGAGCATTTTAGAAGGCTAGAGAAAATATTTCAAGTAGAAGTGGAAGGAAAGGATATACTTCTGCCTCTTGCGGAATGTAGTTTGACCACCGCCCTGAACGGCATAGTGGTTAGCAAAGCGGGCTGTCGAATCACTGAGTGGAGGTTCGAATCCTGGAGATACGCGATATTTTAGTAAGTGTATAATATCGCGGTGAAGTGAGGGCATTTGAAGAACAGACGAGTCGAAAGTCCTTTGGAGGGATTTGGTGATAGCAGAAAAAGGGTGTTGGACTTTCACATCTATCCCCCGTAATGTGTTGCTTCACAAGGAGTGATGTCATGAGATTTTTATTCATATATGATTACGAAGATGCAGTGGTGAGGTTAAATACAAATCTTGCAGTGAAGGGGCTGAGCGTGAAAGAGAGGCCTCCAAGGTCCACGCAGTATTAGAGTAAAGTCTGCGTATCATAGGGTGGTAAGTTTCACCGTATAGTATAGCACATATGACGTATAGTATTATGACGTTATCTTTAAAGTGCCTTTTAAAAAATGTTAAATGAGAGTAGTAAAAGCTCACACCGGTTATGCCGTCTCTGCCGCTGGCCTTGGCAAAGATTTAAGAGCAGCCAAAATTTAAAAATTTTTTAGAGCACTGAGCAGCTTAAAATTTTTCCAGTTTTAGGAAAAGCGCTAAGAAGCAGAATTTACGGACAGCAAAGATTTTAGAATTTAGGCAGGCATCGAAAAACAGAATTTAGGACCCGCCGAGATGGCACGGAGCGGCAAAATGCCTAACGCCGGCCCTGTCGTTTGTGTCATCTATTGGTCTAGCCCAGGGAGGGGCAAACTACGGCTCGTCGGAAGTTTCTATCCGGCCCACGGATAGAATTTTAATTTGCCGGTCCGAGGCTAATTAAAAGAAGTATATATCCATCTCCTTTTCTACTTTGTTTAAATATTTTTTTCCTTCCTTTTTTTTAAAGGACTGATGATC